ATCTTGTTTGTATAATGAGATTTAAAATTTCCCAAAATTTCGAGACTTGACCATCCCTACTACCAAGTCAAATCAAAATCTCTGTATTCAATTGTACATACATTCAAGAATAGTGTCATAAAATGCAAGTGAAAATCATTAAATAAATTAAACCAAGAATACCAAGATTTCTTATGACTCCTGTAAAATATCCTATTCAACATAACCCATTTTAATGAGTTGCTGGCTCAAAGCTGTGCTTATATACAAAGTATTCTTTAAAAGATTGCCAGTTTTACTAAAAAAACTTTTTAACTACAATATTTCTGAAATATCTTGACCTATATTGGCTTTAAGTGATAACTGGTTTAAAAACATATCCCATGCTTGAAAAAATGAAATGTTGGTGTTGTTCAAAGGTTTATTGCGGACATTTTCTATCACGAATGTAAAAAACAATACACAATGTTTCGGGATCTGGAATCTGATCCCGTGGAAACCGAACGTGGAAAGACCGTTGAACATTAGAATCAAAGAACACAGAGAAAACACCAAAAAAGGTTTAGTGGAAAAATCTAAGATCGCTCATCATTGCTGGTCCGAAAATCATCGTATGAATTTTGAAGAGGCAAAAATTGTCCATAAGGAACCTCATTTTTTCAAACGTAAACTCATTGAAGCCTCATACATTAAATTAGCAGACCAACCAATCAGTCAGTCATCGGTTGAAATAAGACCACTTTGGCTACCCATTTTGAACAAGGAACTAAAGGATAGGGAACTTAATTGTTCAATAAATAGGGAAATAACGAGTTCTCCTCAAAATTCGCACGTTATGTTAACTCGTAGTAAAACTCGTGATAGGAATAAACAGAATTAACATCCATCTTCCGGCATCGTACATCGCTCCGCCATTTTGTTGGTTATTTTACTTTTCCAGGGGCCGGAAGTCATTTCTGTTTGTCTCCGTGTTTCCGATTGGTCAGCCATGTTGTTTCAGTCTCATTGGTGGAGTCATTGCGTACGGTGCTATTAGTGTTCCATTGTGTGAGTTTTTTACGTTAAACCTTTTATAGATCATAGTGTTGTGTGATTTTTTATTAATTGCATGTTGTATCATGATTTGACTGCTATACAGTGCATATTTTTTGACTGCTACCTTCTGTAGTGTATTCCAACTTAGGTTGGGCGTTTGTGTATTGTTAGTTGTAATGTGTTAGTTAAGTTTTTTCACCTGAAGACGGGATCAGATTCCAGATCCCCATTTAATGTCATATTAAAAGTTCACTTCTGTGTAAAAATATGTTACGTTTCTTTACCAATTTATTTGTAACTGTAGGAAAAATATAATGTGCAGCTTCAGTGCAAAGTGCAATTGCCTCATTCGAGAAACCATTCCTCACTTGCCTACGGCTTGTGAGTAAGGATTTCTCTCGAGTGAGGCAATTGGTCACTTTGCTCACTAGTTGCAAGACATCACAGACATAGGATGATGTACACACACACACATTATTACATTTCATACAAATATGATAAGGCTCTTGAAGTAAAATATTTCAAATGTAAAACCTTTTTTAGCAAGAAAGATCTATCTCCATACTTAATATTCAAAGGAGATTTCTGCAAATTATACTCTTCTGTTAGTAATGGACTGATAAAAAAAGATGTTTAAAAAGGTAGAGTCTATTTAGACTCACTCTTTCTAGATTTTCAAAATCTAGACGGCCTAACTCGCGCCCCCCTTTCATCTCAGGTTAATATTTTTTTGTGCACTAAAAAACATCAAAGTTAAATAATACCCAGGTATGGTCGTGAATACACGCCAAACGACAGGCAAAAGAGAGGATGTTGACGTTGGTCAACTCTCGACTTCCCCCTTTCTCTTACGCCTTGCCTCGATTCTAATTATAGACTCGCCCCTCCCCCTCCCTCCTTTATACTTACCGCTTATCCCTTGTTTACTTTCTAGCAGTAGGCCTACGAATTGCACAATAATGAATAGTGTTATGGCTTCTGTTTAAGTTACAAGATATGTAAAATGTATGACGTGAATTTCTAACAACATGTACTGTTGAGAGATCATTCAGCACACTTTGGCGTAAAAACCTTGTTGTGTGTAGAACATTGGGAGAAGCCTGACTGTCTAGTCTTTGTTTGTTAAGTTTGCACAGGAACAGAATCAATGTAAAGAAAGGAAAACATTTTGTTGATGAAGTTTTAGATGCGTTTGCTCAAAATAAATAAATTTACAGTTACAGATTGCTTTATCTGACAAGTTCTAGATGGTAATACTAATATAATGTTTTTGCAAACATGTTAGAATATTAAACTATAGCTAGAGTGCCACTGCTACAGGATTACCAATAACTTTTTTGTCTAGTTACCACTGTGTATATGTACACTACAGGTACCGATTTTGTTTGAATTTAAAAAAATATTATTGTTAAAAGTTTTGAAATACCTTTCTGATGTTTTTTGCCCTTCACTTCTCTAATAATATATTAATATTTATTAGTTTATTGGTTTATTAAAGACAAAATTTGAGTAGTGTTTAAAACATGAAGTCTAATAAAAATAATAGTTCCAAACCTCTGGTATGGAGGACAATTACCCAGGCACAGGCTATCTAAACATAATACGTTAAATAGATCTCTTGTAATGGATAGAGAAAAAATTCAGGTGGATTTATCATTGTTCAATAGTGGGACAAAACAGAAGGATATTCTCAACCCGGTAACAACGGTGGTCAGATCAGCAGATGGTCAGGATCCTGAACAGCCCCACACAAGACGTTTTCTTCGTCTGGTAAGAGAACACATTATTTCTGCATGTTTGACTTGCATTTTGGTACCTCAACCCTGATTCGATTTAGGGTCTTCTACACCGTGTAATGCAGGCATCCACCAGGAGCCAGTTCCTCCCTGGCTGGTATGGGAGGGTTAATCAACGTGACCTCCCACCTTGCCACCCGATTGTTTAAGAGTGATCCATCCAGGACTTGTGTCTGTGATAAAAAGCTCTTTCTGGACTGAAGCCGTCGTTTTGAAGGTTGGTGGCCGTGTAATGGGTGACGAGGGTCTGTCTCTTGCTTATTAGTCCTTTCTGCATCGGCAGCAACCTCACTTTGGATTGATGGAGGGGCGATCCCTATGATAGGATAGAGTTTGTGTACTGGGGTTGGTTTCAAACACCCAGTTACAATCCGAGCCCTGTCATTGACTGCCATGTCAACCTTTTTTGCATGTGACGATGCATTCCATACTGGTGCAGCGTACTCTGCAGCCGACACACTGAGCGCTAAAGCTGAGGTTCTGAGGAAATTTAGGGTTAGCACCCCAGCATCTGCTGGTGAGCTTCCTGATGATATTATTCCTCGCTGAGACTTTACCCCTTGTCGCAATACTGTGGGCTTTTAATGTCAGTGTGCGGTCCAGTATGGCACCAAGATATTTGGGTGCAGGACAATGCTGAAGCCGGTCTCTTTCATGTCACATTCAACTCATGGCCTGCTTCTCTATTATTTAGGTGAAAGGCACAAACTTGGGGACGTGTGGATTGGATGGATGGATACACTGCAAAGTGTTTCCATATGCGGGATCACTTTTGCAAGAAACAGGATTTATTATCATGAGCGAGATACAGGAAAGACGGGAATTTGTCTCTGACCTTATTTTCCTTTTTTTCTCATTCTTAGATAAACATATACCAAGTAATTGAATAGTTCGTACAAAAGCAAGATTTAAAGAAATATTTTTACATGATAAAAAAAGATCACGTGAGATGGATTGGGATTTTTTTTACGATATTCGGGCTGGATAAAAACACGGGATTTTTTTATTACACTAAAGTGGGATCAAATGGGATTTCTTTTGGGATCACTTTTGCAAGAAACAGGATTTATTATCATGAGCGGGATGCAGGAAAAACGGGAATTTGTCTCTGACCTTATTTTCCTTTTTTCTCATACTTAGATAAACATATACACCAAGTAATTAAATATTTCGTACAAAAGAAAGATTTAAAGAGATATTAAGAGATATTTTTACATGATAAAAAAAGATCACGTGGGATGGATTGGGATTTTTTACGATATTCGGGCGGGATAAAACACGGGATTTTTTATTACACTAAAGTGGGATCAAACGGGATTTCTTTTTGCTGTGTGCATATACTCGACATTTGTATCCCGAAACTGGATTTTAGACCATGAGTGGGACTAAAACGGGATTTCCTGGCTCTGACATGTATTTTTATTTGTAAACTACTATACTTAATACATGAGAGAATCACTAACAATTGATTAACTTACTGTTTATTTGTTAACTATACTTAATACATGAGAGAAAAACTAACCAATTGATTAAGCTACTGAAGCAAAAAGAACAGTATAATAGCAATGGTTAGACAACTATTTATACATGATACTTTAATATAACACTCGGGATTGAACGATAAAATTCAAACGGGCAACGGGATTTTTCACTATTCAAAAGTGGGATAAGACGGGATTTTCTCGACCTAGTAAGCGGGATCAATACACAGACTGGACAGGACCAGGACTGAGTGAGAACTAGAACTGAGACTGACACAGGTCAAGGTTAGTACTATATGAATATAGTAGTCAGATCCAGTTTCCATAGCGGGATTATTATCCCGAGAACGGGACTTTTAGACCAGGAGCGGGATTAAACGGGATTTTCAGCTATGACGTATATTTTTTTCTACTTAACCTCAGAGAAGTGTTAACTTTAGAGGAAAACTAACTCCAATTGATTAAACTATTGTAGTAAAATATAATAGCAATGTTTAAACAACTATTTTAACATGATACGTCAAATATTACATTTTACATTGGGGCTCACACGATAAAAAATCATGCGGGATAAAACGGGATTTTTCATAATTCAAAAGCGGGATTAAACCGGATTTCTAGATCCAGTTCCCCAGTAAGCGGGATTATTTTTTTGGTCTGTGGAAAGTGGACTGGAATGGAATGGAGGAAGTTTCCACTGATCAGTTCCAGAGATCAGCTGATCAGCTGTGTTGTGTTGTGTGTTCTGTTCGTGTTGTCGTTGTCGATTGACTCTTAACTCTTACTACACTACTTACTTGGTGTGTCCGTTGTATGGTTATTACATTTCAGTACTTATTCAAGTGGCATATAGTTAAACCTACCCTATCAGACGGATAAAAAAGATAAGTCGTCGGTGATCATTGAATAGGCTATGTAGTTTTTATGGCCGAGCTTGAGAATTCGTGCCGTCTTTTCTGACCTAACCTCAAAACTCCGTAGGTTCCCACTGTTTCCAGTGTTGTATGAGGTAATATTATAAAATCAAAATGCTGAAAGGCATTAACAATCAATTAGAATCTTACGACGGAAGGGATAAAATACTGAGGCTCATTGGCTACACATCATACTTAGTATCTGGTCTTACCAAAAATAGGGCTCTGTCTCGATTTGGTGATTCCGTGAGTGAATGTAGAACAATTTTAAGATTATTAGACGACTTACCAATGCTTACTCATACCCTGGCTTATGGCCTAGGAAGAAAGGTAAGTTTTTTTTGTTACTAGCAAAATGTGATGTTTTTAGGCTATAACTTGTGCATGTTTTAAGCAGTGGTGGCGATAAGAGCCCGCGGGCCCCCCTCTCCCAATAATCTTTAAAATCATTATTACATACAGTAGACTCCCTCTTATCCGGACTCCTCAGGACCTAGGCCAGTCCGGATAACGGTTTTCCGGTTAAGCCGACGTCCCCAAAAACTCATTAAAATGAACCATTTACGGTGATATTCGACTTCAATTTAGGAGAGCATTGTATTTAGACATGTGATCACTGGTCTCAAATCTTTCCTACGAGAACAGTCCTTACAGTACCGCCCACTTCCTGCCGATCTAGTACGGTGAAACCAATGTACTGATAAAAATTGTCCGGTTAAAGAGATGTCATTTCCATCGAGTGTAGTCCGGTTAAACCGATGTCCGGTTAAAAGGTGTCCGGATAAGAGGGAGTCTACTGTACCGCCTAAACTTGCACTTTAGCTTGGCACGGCATCTCCCGATGCACCAAGGCGTCACCCATCGTCATCTTCCATGATCACGTCAAAATCGTGAATATTTTCCATAGTCATGGTAGAAACATTAGCCTATCATAGTCTACCGTGATAGCAACCAATTCTATGACATTATCAGATAACAACATCATTGAATCCCGCGTTCACGGCCCAATCCCTAATATCTGCCACGACCCGTGGTGACTGGGATACCTATCATTTGTTTCGCAATCGCGGCATAAGAAACGTCATTATCGTCTTCCGCAATCACGGAAAAATATTGAACATCTCCTGCGGTCGCTGAGACATGGTCATTGTCACCCGTGGAGAAATGTTCTCGTAAATATCCGCGATCGCGGTAAAATGGTAGGCCTAATTTTTCAATTTCGTGAGCATGATCCTCGCTGACATAAAAAGCTTACTTTTATTTGGGCAGTTGTATTGAGTACTGAGAAAATTGGCTCTAGCTTGATTTTCTGACTTTGTGCTTGATCTCTCAAGCTTGTAGGCCAGGCTCTGTTTGGCTCGAAAATCATCATTATATAAAAATCAGCAGTTTTCAAAGCCTCCCGATTTGTCGGCCCATAGTGAAGCCTTTGAAGTTAATAACGAGAAATTAAATGAAATGAAAATCCTTCTTTAGCATCAGTGAAAGGATGGAATTTTATTCATTAGCTATAGTTAATAACGAGAAATTAAATGAAATGAAAATCCTTCTTTAGCATCAGTGAAAGGATGGAATTTTATTCATTAGCTATAGAGCTCTACTAGCCACCTAGGCTAATTTGCCGATTTGTTCGTTAAAAAATTTTCAAGTTCGTTTAGTTGAATCACCATTGATAGAGGGCCCTCTCTGGTGTGACCTGCCAGGGACTAGGAGGATTAACATTAATGTTTTATCCTCTTAGGCAGGGAACATTGGTTCTTCACCCAGTCCATGAGGAGAGTTGATATAACCTGCATGACCGATGACAATTCTTACTGGAGAATTTATAGTGATCGGTCAAGTAATAGTGTTGTAAACTACTTCTTCTAGTGCTCTTACAGGTTTTATCAAATTTTCTTCATAAAAACGTACGGTAATTCTCATGCTATGATAACTTAGGTAAATATTGTCATGATAGGGGGCCTGTGTGGCTGAGCCTGTCGCACATTCACGGGCCCGTGTCCCAGTAAAATTTCCCGAAAAATCCCGATCAAGGCTCACAGGCCCCCCTAGCTCACAGGCCACCTCGCACCGCGGGACCTGCGGGCCCACTATCGCCACCTCTGGTTTTAAGACCGTTATATCTTAAGCCTACCTTAAACTTATTTGGCAATTGCAACACTGAAGCTTGTGACCGGTAATGCATGGTATGTTAATTAGTATTGGGTTAATTGGTCAGGCCTTGGTTTCATTATAAGATATTTTTGTTAGGCTATCTTGGTTTCACCACAATCTGTTGATTGGGGAACTGTCATGCTTTTTGACTTTGGTCCATGAGCCTCAATTCAATCCACGGTAACACCATTTTACAAAGACATACGAACATAGACTAAGCTATAAGTTAGTAAGTGCCAGCGATTCTTCTTCAGGATAGTCTGGGATCATTGCTGTTATGTTAGTAGCACACATATCATTGCAACAAATCATTAAGAAAATTGGCCTCCACTCTTATTGCAAGCCATCCCATCCACGGTAAAATAAAACTGATTACCTAACCAAAATTAAGGGCACAAAGCCATTTTGAATAGGCCCAACGTATTTTAGGTTAGTGAGCAGTAGGAATTATAAAGCGGTGTCCAGTCAAGGAGAGCTAGAACAGTAGCTTTTGTATGTTTTTAAGCTGTAATCTTAAAATAATTGTCAGTTATTTCTGTAAGATGTATCTATTTCACAGTACCGTACTTACCCATGAGATCCATGTTGTCGTCCGCTCCATTACATTCCATTGGTCAAACCGAGCCAGCTACTTGAGCCATAGCGGACAATGCCTGTTGCTCAGCTAAATCTTTTGATTTATTGGTCTTTTTCTGATGGTTTTAGTTAACCCGGGTCCGGTTTAACAGAGTGCTGTTGAATGGGGTTTCACTGTACGCTTACTAAGTACTAGGTCTATGATGTAGGCTATGTTTATTATGATCAACTTACTGGTACCGTACTTCAAAATGCCTTTGAACCGTACCGGTAAGGTACTTAAGTTAGTACCGTAAGTGTTAGGTTAAAACGCCTAAGTATTTAAATTTTGTATATGTAGGTTTATACTGCGAGCAGTTTTGTCAATAATGCTGATTGTGTACTGGTACACAGCTTAACTAGGTGAAGTTTTTAGAAGGTCTGTTTGTCTTTAGCCTAACTTTTGTAATGCAATATTAGGCCTAATTATTTATTGCTCTTTAAAAAGTCTATAGGTCTACCGGCACTTGCCTAATATCAAGGGTTATTCTTTTAGTTTTGAATTGCAAAATATGTTAAACATGATTAATGGACACATGGTTGTTAAACATGGTGCCCTTTATCTATACAATTTAGTAGCAGAGATAGAGCTTATATTAATCATAGCAAACAAAAATTTTAAAAATCAATATGTACCCTAATTATTGTAAAAAAATCATTCCCAAAAATGTCAACAAAAATGTTTAATTATTCCAGGAACCTGATATGCACATGCAAGTGTGTGGGGTAGTCGTGAACATACTAGACCAGTTGTACTATCCACTGGAACATGTCGCTTGGGCTGCGGACAGAGGACTCATATCTCTACGCAGCGACCACTGGTGGACTGCTAGCAACGCTTGTTGGGCATTCTCTCTCTACTTCAGCATAGCAAGGTAGCCGCTGTTGATGTTTAAAATCAGGCAAAATCATATTATGCTTTTAGCGTTTCACTCGATAAAATAAATGTAGGTCTAAGAAGTATGAATAGCCTAGCTTAATTTAACATTACTGAAATCAAATAGGAAGTCATCTTATGTTTAATATGCAAACTCCTATATTATGATACGAGTAAGGTTTGTGCACACAATTCTGTCAAAACAGTTATAACAATTTCCTCTAAAATTTTAAAAATTTCTTAGTGTCAGGCTAAAACTAATATTTACAAGTAAGTGCTAGGGTCTGTTTTGGGAAAATTCGTGTTTTGTCAAAAGCTTTATAATATGAAGCATTAATAGTTTTAACATTAACCAATGGATTGCCAAGTAGCCATAGTGATTTTACAAAAATATAAACAATGAAATTGTTACATAACAAACCATCTAGAGACAGTAAACTAGCAAATAACCAAAAACTAGTACGAAGTAATAGACCTTTTCAGATGAATACCATTGAGCATATAATATACTCAATGTGTATTTTTATGGTATTGATGTGTTTTTTGTTGGCTCTGTCAGTTGTGCGTACATGTTTGTTTACAACCGTTTTTTATGGCTTAAGATGTAAAATTGTGAACAAACTGTTGTATAAACAGCACCAACACTTGTGTATGATAGAATGTTTTTGTATGATTTGTTCTATTACATATTTTAGATAGTATGTAATACTGATCATGGCTTTGCTCAGAAAGTGGTAAAAGAATCATTATAGATGTGATCTGAAAACAAACTGATATTTAAGCCGACTAACCTATTTTTAATAGTGGCTAATGACCAATATAAAATATGTTTACATACCGGTACCTTAATTACGTCATCAATCCTAAATTTTTAGTCTGGGCGACTAGTTTTGAAACAACGGTTGCATCATCAAGCCAACGCTTCATTAAATTATTGGAGCACAATGTCGTTGTCAATACAAAAATAGTCAACACATAGCACACACGAACACGGGTACAATACGAATACAATTACATAAAATAATGAGCGGCCAGCCATAAAACGCACGGTGACGGACGGTAGTAGCCGACCATGGTAGTTGTAGTCAACGGCTAGTGACCATTGACCCCCCCCTCCTTCCCCAAAAAAGATTGTTTCTTTGGAAACATAAATAAATATGAAAGCATTTACACCTGAAATTTTGATATATAAATAATTTTTTCCCTTTTTTATAAATCTAACATTGGAAAACAAAACCTAAGAAAACTATATACAGTAGACCCTCTCAATTTCATCTAGTTTTATCATTTTGAAAGTATATTAATTTTATGCCAAATATCAGTAGCCAAGTTGAAAAGAGTTCTCATAATACAGTAGACCCCCTCTTAACCGACCCTAATGAGACCGGACCTAGGTCGGATAACTCAAACTTTCGGTTAAAACGGGCAATCCCTAAAATCATAACATAATGAAGTGCTATTCATTTGGAATTATATAATCTTTATTTTGAAGTCATACTTGTATTATTTATAAAATAAACTACTCTTATCTCCTTTTTCGTATTGATAGAAAAGTAAAAATAAACACAAAACATGATTAAGCCAAATAGGCCTACTTTCAGTGGAATATACAGGGTGATTACTGGGAAACGCATGTTTTTGACTTTCGTAGTACACAAGGAATATCGTTCGGCGACGGCCAGAAGTTGTTGCGATGTGTAGGGGGAAGTGTGCAGTTTCAATTTTTGCCAAGATGTGGGACCTTGAGCATCGTATGTTTGTCATGCGACGATATTACGCAAATGGTGAATCAGTCACTCAGACTCGGCGAGACTTTCATACACATTTTAACATTGCACGGCTTGGCGCTACCCCTGATCGTAACACGATATTGCGTTGGATACATAATGTAAAACTCAATTAGATCTCTGCTTAAGAGAAAACCTCCTGGACTGGCAAGGACAGTTAGTACCCCTGAGACAGTTGAAAGAGTGCGCCTTGCAACAGCTCAGAGAGTCCTAGCCGCAAAGCAGTGACTCCAGTGATTCCACAACTGTACCTAGACATGTTGGAAGAATATTTCTTGCCGGAACTGCGCCATCAACGTGTCGAGATACGTAATGACATATGGTTCCAACAAGATGGGGCAACAGTCCATACAGCTCGCATTAGAATGGAATTCCTTCGGCGAACATTACCTAAAAGAGTTATCCCACGTTTTGGTGGTGTCACTTGGCCGAGCACTTGTCACTCACCAGGTCTTAAAATTCCAGATTTCTTTCTATGGGTATTTTTTAAATCTGGAGTTTACATAAACAAACCAAAAACAATACAGGCACTTTAAGAAGCTATTCGCCAGGAAATCAACGCCATTCCTAGAGATATGTTAGTAAAATTCCGTAGAAAGTTTTAAGGAACACCTTCAACGCTGTATCAAAGCAGAAGGCGACCCGTAAAATTATCAATGTTCTCTAACCACCACGTTAGAAATGTAATTTTTTGAATGCTAAATTGCAAGTAATTTTATTCTGAAATTGCATATTATGTACACTGTTTTTCCACTCATAAATACATTTTTTGCTCTGAATTACCTGAGTACTCGTTATTTGAAAAACATGCGTTTCTCGGTAATCACCCTGTATTATAGTACTAGGCAAGAGTCAATAAAAATTCCTATTTTAATAACTTTAGTACTGTAATGTATTATAGATGCTTTCCAAATCCATCGTAATATAGTACAGAACCTTTTGTCGAAATTAAAGATACAAGCAACCATTTTGTTACAAGACAGGATGTTTATTTATAGCCTCTCATTGGAGGCTCGAGGCACAAAAACTATCTTGACCTTGGAGTTGTTAACCCCCCTTCTCTGCCCTCTTACAAGTTGCTTTGTTTGTTTACTCCAGCGATAAGATAATCAGTTCTCAAAATGAACACACTTTACGATGCTATAAATTTCTTGCAAAGATAACAAACTGACAATATCGTATGCTATATTTTTGTGATCAATACAAAATAACTTATTCTTAGTCCTATCCTGTGGAGATAAGCGTATGGTTCAGTTCTCATAGCCCAGCATGGGTGGCGGTTAAAGCGAACTGCTCTCAAAGCAAGGTCGCTTAAAACAAACTGTAATTATTTTACGATCGAAGGTGGATAATCCGATTATCGGTTAATACGAGGTTGGTTAAGAGGGGGTCTACTGTAATAACTACACGTTGGTAGTTATTTATAAAACACTGATTGGTAGTTATATAACTTAGCAGGTTTTACTGAAAATGAAATTCGTGAATCAACTCCCATCTATAAAACCCAGCCTCCCTTAAAAATTTTTCAAAGTCGTCCGGTTGTAGAAGGATTTGCCGCTGACATGTCAGCGTTGCCCGGGGTGTGCCCGATTGTGATGTCGTTCATAGCGTGTAATGGTCACAATCTTCGGGGAGGCTCCTTCTGTGCACCCCACCTTGTTGTGCCTTTCACCTAAACAATAGAGAAGCAGGCTGTGAGTTGAATGTGAGGTGGCGGGGAGACCGTCTTCAGCATTGTCCTACACCCAAATATCTTGGTGTCATACTGGACGCACACTGACATTTAAGGTACATTGTATTGCGACAAGAGGTAAAGTCTCAGCGAAGAATAATATCATCAGGAAGCTCACCAGCAGATGCTGGGGTGCTAACCCTAACGTCCTCATAACCTCAGCTTTAGCGCTCAGTGTGTCGGCTGCGGAGTACGCTGCACCAGTATGGAATGCATCGTCACATGCAAAAAAGGTTGACATTGAAGTCAATGACATGGCTCGTATTGTAACTGGGTATTTGAAACCAACCCCAGTAAACAAACTCTATCCTATCATAGGGATTGCCCCTTCATCAATCCAATGTGATGTCGCTGCCGACGCAGAAAGCACTAAGCAAGAGACGGACCCTCGTCACCCATTACACGGCCACCAACCTGCAGAGCGACGGCTTCGGTCCAGAAAGAGCTTTATATCACGGACGGACGCGAGTCCTGGATGGATCACTCTCAAGCAATCGGGTGGCAAGGTGGGCGGCCACGTTGACTAACCCTCCCATACCAGCCAGGGAGGAACTGGCTCCTGGTCGAGGCCTTAATTACACGGTGTGGAAGACCCTAAATCGAATTAGGGCCGAGGTACCAAAATGCAAGAGAAACATGCAGAAATGGGGTCTCTTATCAGACGAAGAAAATATGTTTTGCGCGTGTGGTGCTGTTCAGGATCCTGGCCATCTGCTGATCTGCCCACGCCTAGACCAGTCTTGAACATTAAATGATCTTTTACATGTGAATGACAAAGCCATATCGGTAGCTAATTTTTGGAAAAGCGAAGTCTGATTTCCGGACATGGAAAGTAAGTCCCTTAAAAATTAGCCCCTACTAAAATAACTCCAATCCTCCCAGTTTGAATACAAAATAAATTCCTCTCGAGCAAAAAGAACCTAACAATTAGAATCTAATGTTGTTTAAAATTGGACATTCTGCCACAAAATAGAACACTTTTGCCTTTATTTAAATTACAAAGGGAGCAAATCCCATTTCCATCCCTCCATGGTGTAATATATGGATATTTTAACCCCGGTCTTACAAGTGCTTTAAGTAGTGTTAAGAAATAGTTCAGTGAGTACGAACATTTCTCATTGCTTATAATTTAAGTCAATCAGCTGAGCACTAGCTTTACTCAGTCAGCAATGACCTGTCACCATCAAGCTCGTGGAGCACGTACCGGTTTTGATATCACGCTTCTTTTTTTTTATTTAACAGGGTTAAGCCAAAACCATGAAGCACTACATAAGTCTAATTATTGTACACCCCAGACAGTTGTTTTATTGATATAACCTACAAAATCAGGCATCCGATGAATGCCAATAGTCAGCAAGGTGTCCTCAGACTTGTGTTTATCAAAACCGATTTTAAAATCTCAAAACCGTTGGAGATTCGGTTCGCCATCAAACAAGCCCATCCAATGGAAATGTTTCCTGAATCGTCCATGACCAGTTATCAGCTATATTGTTAATTTGATTCTCCATTATTGTCACAGGGGCAGAATTTGCAGATCTCTCCATTGCTTCATTTCCTTCAATGCCTGAGTGTCCGGGCACCCAGTAAAGCATAATCATTCCTCCTACCTAATTCAGACACATAGGCAATACAGTCTCACATGAGCTTTGAATTGAATTTGTATGAATTGAGTGCTTTTAAGGTAGCTTGACTATAAATGTAGATTTTAATTGTTTTGTTCCTAATCTCTTTGCTAAGATTTTCTCAAGCGCAAACTTTAGATAGCAGTGACCTCCGCCTGAAAAGCTGTCTTGTGAACTCTCATAGCAAGGCTTACACTAGTACCTTCTCTTTTCCAAAGCACACCTGCACTGGTGCCCCCTTGTTTAATCATAAAACCATCAGTAAAGCATTCTAAATCGTTTGCGGGGATAGGCCTCTTTCCATCAGTCAGCATTGACCTACTGTGGTCAAGGTCGAAGAGCAAGTACTGGTCTCAATCTCGCGCTTTCAACGCTTGTCCTACACAAAAATTCTGCCTCTATCATGTTCAACCACTGTTGTAAGCTGCACCACCTCACGCTCCCCCTGCGGTTCCCACGAATTAAAATATATCTCATACCAAGTAATTTCTAAAGTGTAATACAACCAACAGTTTTAAAATAATTTCTCTCAACAAAATTTTAGGCAAACAATTGGTTACATTGAAGACATTATTTTATTTAAATATATTTTGACCTAATGTGAATAAATGCAATTTTCCAAAATTTGTATCTAAATACTAAACGTAGTTTTCTGCGTTTGCAGGCAATTTAAGCAACTTTTAAAAGGACCTTGTTGAACAGCTCCTAACTGTGCACTTTCATAGCAACCCCATACCTGTGCACTGTAACAAAAAATCGATCTAATGATAGAATTAAAACAAATATATTTTGAACTAAAATAATCTGTCTTACAATTAAATAATCTTAACCATTGATTACTTCATAGCAAATTTTTCTATCCTTGGTTCCTCCTTAAAATGTGCTTCTCAGGGCCCCGCGCTTTCCAGGTTTGTATGTCATAAACACATTCCAAATGTGTTATCTTCTTCATAGAAGCTTAAGCAGTGTGGGTGCTTCCTCTTGTATCATAACCCAGTGCCATCCCTATGAATTAAGTTATTTTGATTGGTTGATGATATGTTTGAGTTTTCCCCTGTCCTACTATAGAAATGAGCTGCTATAATTGAGAGAGAGAGAGTGATAATAAAGAGTCTGCTGAACATCCTGAGTCAGTCACCATGACACCATCAACCTACACAGTAAAATTGGCTTACTCTTCAAATAAGTCACTTAAAAGCTGAGGGTCTAACTATTTAGGCTGACCAAATCAGGCCTGTCATGTTCTTCAACAAGTCTCTCTTCTGTTGTGGATGTCTAGTTAGGATGCTTTCCCTCTCTGATAGCTTAGTGGTTCAGATGCAGATCTGTTGAGTACCCAAGAAACCATGCCGTGGGCAAGCTCTCTAAAACAAAGCGGTGAAATTCATGCAGAGGTCCAGTTAGTAGTTCTGTTGTCATTTGATTATGCCCATGAACAAGGCACTTCAACAAAACATTTCTCCAGCACTCATATGATAAGAAGGGGCCACTAAACAGGGGGGGGGGTTACAGTGATCCAAGCAGTGACTGCCAGCTGTTCCAAGATGCTGGTACACAAATCTCTGCTAGAGAAATCACTGAAATCAGCTCTAAGGCAGTTTATTGACTGCTATGTGTAGACTTGCTGCATTTGGTTATTACTCTAGTTAGGGTTCTCGCATGTGAAGTTATAAGGTAGAGGTACTTCTACGTAAAAAAAATCATTCTGTCCTAAGGGCATGCTGATTGTGAGGAAGTCATAGTGGATGATTACCGGACTTATATTTATGGTGTCCGTTCAATTCCATAAAAATCCCTCCCTTCCCTCCTTCCCCATTACATTTCGGCAGTAGTATTATAACACTGTAAATCTCCGAATGTTAAAAACAAAAACGAATATTATCAATAAGATTCAGATGCAAAGTTCGAACTTATTCATAGTTCAGATAAACACATTTTTATTATTAATTAAAATTACAAATTAGGTACTCATGATATTTAGATTACATCTCAACATTGCCATGACAAGAGGTTATTGGATCTTAGTTGGAATTTGTAAGGAAGTGTGTGGTCTAGGCGTGTGCGTCTTGGTGACAGTTAGGGTTGCCACTTTTGGTTTGGGAAAAATCGGGACGCCCCCCCCTCCCCTGATTAACATGGGCGAAATCGGGACTGTCCCTACACAATCAGGACGTTTGGCAATCCTGGTCCCCAATGTGATAGTGAATCCTGTGCTGTAGAGGTTTGTAAAACAGCTGGCTTTAAGTGTAAAGTGGCCCAGATCATTTATTTATTTATTTATTTATTTCCCAACGGTTTACACCAGTTTACAAGAATGTATACAATATTGAAAGATGGCAAAATACATGCAACAGTGAGTGGTAACAGCAAGAACATAAAATTAATGAACAACAATTAACAAGTAACACGTAAATGATTCTATATAATAACAATCTTGAATAACAATAACAATAGCAATAACAAAAATAACAAAATAGACAAGGAAATACGATCATTGTATTTGTCTTGAGAAATATATGGTCAAGGCGTATTGATGTGTTGTGAATCACTCGTGTAGGTTTGTCGATGCGTCGTGATGCCTCAGTTAGAATGTTTAAATATGTTTTTATAAATAAATCTATGTTGAGTATGTCAATGTTAGATTCCCCAAGATAACATTTAGGTCTATAATCCTTTTTAATATTAAATAAAAATTCTCCAAGATCATGTAGGAACGTTACAGTCAAATGTTTTGTGAATTACAAATAGGTTGAAGTGTTGAAAAGTGTAGTGAAATACCGTAAACATCTCCAATAGTAATTTCAGTAGCCGTAGCAGACAAACGAAATGTTTGTTTTCATAAACAATAACCCCATCGTTCTGTTTGCGATAAGTAGAAGTTTGATAAAGGTCAAAGCCCTCCAGGGCAGCCGCCCCCTCCCCTCCAGACAGCCAGCATTCTGTAAAGACCATAAGGTCAGTAGCCTATCTGAAATGTACTTGTTTAAGTGAGAAATCATTTCTTCAGAGTGTTTGTTGTAACTCCTTATATATTTGGTGAGTTGGTGGTTCAGTCGGTAGCGTAACGGACTTCAGGCCCAAGGTAGCAATGTTGTAGGTTCGGATCCTGGTCACTGCTGCGACTTTTTTTTCCAGTACAGTTCACCCTTGTACTGCACTGGCTCACCCCTTGCTTTGCTGGATACATTCCACGCACAGATCCGTAGTCCTGTACGTGTGCAATCCGTGTTAAGCTTACTATCTGTCTACTATTCTACCTTAAGCGTCTAGTCTACTTTAAGGTTATCAAGATTTCATAAAGTTCCTTACTTGTGAAATGTAGTCCTATGATGAGGCTTTCGTAATGAGCGCAAACTGTGTGTTTTCTTCTGCTTTATTAACCTGAAATCTGTTGCAAAATATTTAGGACTTATTTCAAAGATTGGGTAAGCTACAGGCCACACACACAAGTGCCACACACACTTCAAGTGCCATATGTGCAGTGAAGTGAGTGTTTTTGGTGGTGCCTCTAAAGGGCCACACAACCAGTGGGAGGAAGTGCCAACTGCCAAGCAATATTATCTCGTCAATTTACGTTTTTCTTTTGGTCTAGAGTATTTATCACTGTATCGTTTTCATTTAAAAATATTTTATCCTTGTTATTAATTTATAAAATCTTTATCAATTGTTGTTACTCTTTGTTCTTGTTTTTGGATAGTTCTTAATAATATATTTCTTTCAATTAATTGTGTTCTTTGTTATTGATTCTTGAATATTGATTGATCATCTTTTTAAATACAGTAGAGTCCCGCAAATTGGCGTAATTTGGACTGGAAGGGTGCCGAGTTTGTGAAATGCCAGGTTATCAGGAACTAGGGTTAAAAATAAGGACAATACAATTTTTAAGCTTTTTAACCTCCTTTTTTTATATTACAAGTCAGTAAAAAGTCATCAGATATAGTACAAAAAGTCCTTGGTACGAGTTGTGAATGATTTTACTTGAGCTGGCTTGAGTCCATGTTTAGCTCGACTCAAATAATCACTAATTTTCTGAGCCAGGTGATGGCCGAGTTATCCAGACTGCCGGGTTATCGAGTCCCGAGTTTGCGGGACTCTACTGTATTAATTGTCTTGTTAAACCCACTTGTAAAGTGGTGTCTGCCGTTTAATAAAATGAAATGAAGGCCCAAAATATTTAAAGTAGCTTTACACAAGTATTTTATTTTAATTTTAGAGCAATTTTCTTCATACCAAATCACAACAATTGGTGAGGAGTAACATAAAAATAAGTATTGACGTCGCTAAAGATGTCAACTGATTGTAATAAATTCACTAACAGCTGATAGTCTTGCAAAATTAGCAAACTTCAAAGTTAGTTTTGCATGTTAACAAACTTTGTATGGAAATTTAATTCAAAGTTTTTAGTAGACTATTCTCCACTTTTTTAATTCAAATAAAATTGTCTAATATTCAATTTTTGTCAGATAATATACTAAAATGTGTTTGTGATTTTTTAGGTCACTGAGGTACCTGAGTCTACTACATAATCACTCAAAACATTTTGATTTATCAGATGCCAACATGAGGTTAGTAGTCAACTAATTAACTCTATTCAAACGTTTGTATTGACTCACATTCATAAAGTAATGCACTAGAATTCTATTTTGTATTTTGAATCTTTTTTTGTTTTTGGCTTGAATGTTTTTATTTTATGTGCAATGTTTCAACCAAGTATTCAATGCAATGTAAATTATTATCATTGAACAGTATGATGGTTCATAGAGTAGTTTATTTGGACTTTATAATTCTGGTTATTATTTTTCATATATCTTGTCTATGAGTATTAGCCATACTTTTTTTACCGTTTTTATCCTCATCATTGGCAGCAGGTGGGTTAAAGTAATGGGAAAACACATAACATTTTTGGGAGGTTATTGATTCCCCTGATACTGAGGGAAAGTTAAAAATTTAAAAAATGAGTTATTTAAACGTTGGTTTATGCCACTTTTTTATATGAACTGTTTTATTCATAATGTAAATTGTCTTAATTGTCCCTTTGTTCATATTAATTGTCCTCAACACTTGCATACTTTGCAGAAATATTTTAAACAGAATTTATAATTCATTAGCATCACTGAACAACAACACTTTAGAGAAACAATAGTATATTAATTAAGTAACACCTCGAATACGAGCTGCACGACCAGCCGGATGAACATAAACTCAATCAATCAATCAATCAAATCTTTTCTTTTAGTCAGACAATATACATTGTATTACAAACGTCAACTTCAAATACTTCTAAATATAAACAATAAAATAATGCAAATGAAAGTACAAAACTGGTACTATAACACTGATAACACATGAAAGTAATAAATACAGAGCAGGTGGAGTATAAAACTTTTTTTTTAAATTGGGCTGTTCAAAAATTTCAGCAACAGAGTAACATGCGCGTTCTAAAAGGTATTCTTTTAACTTAGTTTTGAATTTTGCTTCTGACGTTAAGGATTGTAGATTGGCTGGACGTTTGTTAAGCAGTTTTGGCCCGAGATTTTGAGGTAATGATGCAGCTAATTCCAATCTATGAGAGGTTTGTCTTTTTTTCCAATTCAAAACTTCTTTATTCCGTAACATGTAAATTGTTTACAAAGAATAGAGTCAGACCTAACCTAAATTATACATATTATTAATATCTAAAAATACATCCCACAGTTGAGTTTTCAGCTCTTAGAATTTGATTTCATTTAAATGATTTAGTATTTCATCTTCTAGGAATATTGTTGGACTTATTCTATTTTTTGCTTTTTTTGTTGAAAAAGATACAAAATTTGATTTCCTGGAGTTAAATAGCAGATTTTTACTATTTAAAAAGTCTTTAATCAGAGATAAGCCAACGTAGGATGATATTTCTATGTGCTGGCTGAGAAAATGACGTTGGTATCATCTGCATAAAGACACACTTTTCTATTTGTCCCCCATCATTCTAGGTAGCCCCTTTAGGTACGGTAACGGTAACATGGAAACAGTAAAAGTCCCTATGATGGTGTCTTTGCCTGGTATTAAATTATGAACATCTGCACCGGTTACTATTGTTGTTGATTCAAAACTATAATAACTTCTTGATCACGTCATTCGCCTATTGGGTCTGATGATGATTGGAGTGTCCAATCAAAATCGATCACCACTTACCATCTTTTGTATATTTACCGTCTTGTGAGTAACAGTATAAGCGTAAATATATGTTTTAAGTGTTATAAGACGTATCTTTATTTACTTTCTGTAAAACTATAATGTAATAAAATTTCAATGATATATACCTATCGAAGGTAACGTTAGAATTTCAAAAGATTTTAAAAAAATTTGGCAAGATGTTCTTCTGTACACATCTGCCATAATACGAACGGCTCTTTTTTGCAATCTAAAAACGCGTAAAAATGTGTCGCAGACCCCCAGAGAATAATTCCGTACCTTAATCTTGACTCGATGGGTGAAAAATAAATTAATCGCATAAGTAATAGATTTTGATATTTTGCGAATCTATTCATTAAAAATCACAGCGTATCAACATAAACGGGTATTTGGTGAGTCGGTGGCTCAGTCGGTAGGGTCACAGACTTTGGGTCCAAGGCAGTGATGTCGTGGGTTCGAATCCTGGTCATTGCCGAAAACATTTTATCAGTACAGTTCACCTTTGTACTGTACCGGCTCACCCCTTGCTTTGCTGGATACGTTCCACGCACGGGCAGTAAGTCTACGTGGACGGACAAATTCAAGGTTAAAAGAGGCCACCAACCTCTATTTAATAAAACCAAAACAAACAAACAATGTGAGGTGTCCAAGAAAAAGTGTTATCAAATTCAATCCTAGATATTTAACTTCTGTTTCTAAAAGGGTAACTCAAATTCGTTCATAAACATTACTGGGCTGGCCTCAGAATGGTTGGCTTTTGAAAAATGTATACAGCTTGATTTGCTTGGATTTACGTGTACATTATTGCTATTAAAGTATTTATAAAGTATATAGTATTAAATTAGTAAAGTATATATACTTTGTATTTATAAAGTTTATATTAAATTATTATTAAACTCTACAAATCACTAGATAGATACTGTAATCACTTATTTGACTGATTATATTGTGTTAATAGTCAACAAATCCGACTCAGCGCTTGTTGTGGCAATAGTTAAACAACTGTTTGGACAGAGTCCCAAACACCCTATATCTATTTATTGCATTAGAACCTGACTGGCTGTGATTGGTAGAATTGTTCCATGCAGTTTATATGGGAGTTTGGACTCATATCTACCGAGCCCCTGTGTACTACCCGTTGCAAGTACATGCTGCATCCATTATCACATTGACCCTGCTAATGTTGATGTATATTAAAATTCATGAATCACATTTATATTCATTATTATTATTTTTACTATTGTCTTGAAAATGGTCGCCACTGATCCTCACTTCATGACTATAGAAACATGGTTATAAATAGTAATATTTGTGGATGTGAGTTTAACCCTTAAACGTATTTTGACGTATCTAGTATGCCATAGTATTTCATGGCACCGTAGCCACGCCTCTGGTGCAACGGTAGTTCGTTGAATCACACGTGAAGTAGTAAGCCCATAGAACAGTTCCACTCAAAACTGTTACATTATGATTCCATTGGAACAGTCAAGAACAGCTCGAACTTTGGTATCCCATAGTGCTGGTATACAAGTGGTGGCAGACGACTCCCAAGGTTACTGTTCTGCCACTTACTCTAAACTTTTCTGGAACAGTTAGGTTGTAGTGTGAGTTGCAAGTACAATACGACGTACCTTTTCTCAACTTGCACTGAAACAGCCGCTCTGTTCTGGTTTCTAAGAAATGTTACTAATAGTCTGGGCGTCAACTAGGGGGACCTGGAAATTTGGTTGGAAAAGGTTTTTTGACTGATTCTGACTCAGTCTTTTGCACGCGGCTGTGCCATTCCCCTAGTCTTCTGCTCAGGGGCACATTTTTTCCCACGCTCAAACGTAGCAATATAGAATTCAGGAATGCCAAATATAAACTATCAATTACATGTAACTGGCAGAGACCCAGTAACACTTCTAATACACATTAGAACATAACACATTTGTACAGCAATTGTAGCACACTATGGGTCTTCCTACTGCATGAGCACTGTAGTTCGTGATGGCGAGGGAGGAAAGGAGAGAGGAAGGGGACGAGAAATTGAATTTGCTCTAGACACAAGCGACTGGTGCTAGACACCACATAAGTGTACCATTAAATATATCCTCTGTTTCTTACTTATCTGTGGTATCAAATCAAAACAAAATAGATAGTCGGTATGGTAATTCATTAAGTTTAATTACTTATCCAAACTGATTGATACATTGAACATTGCCTCCAAGCTTCCTTTGTAAATAAATAGAATTTAGAATTAACTATTAATATATGGTTTGATAAAATATATTTTACTCCAATTATCATTAATAGATTCTTAGACACTTATTAAACAGTTTTTTTTCAACTTCTTGAAATTTGATCTATTGATAATTACAGTTTTCTCAGTAAAATATTCTCAAGAAAAGAATTCAATTGTTTTAGTTATAACCTAATTTGATGTTAATATAACTGACACCATTCTGTACATTTATAAATGCACATTTTAAGTAAAATAATTTTGATTCATCGATTGAAATAGTAGTTTACACAACGATTGCGTAAAGATAGTGTTAACACTAGTAGAAAATTAAAAAATAATAAAATAAATAAAATAAAAAACTTCTACGAGTGTCGTTAACACTATTTACGGAAAGTAAATAAAAGAAACGTCTTATAACACTTAAAACACTATTTACGTGAGTTGAATGCACTACTTTACCTACCACAGTGTTTTATTTACTAAAAATCAATTCTCATAACTTCCAAGAGAGGTCATTTCGTTTTCGTTTATAACCTCTCATGGCCACTGGCAGTGATGCAATGAAACATTGTACCGAACAACATTGCAGCGCTCAACAATTAAATTGGCCTGAACAGCTGATTAGTTGAAGTTTGAATCATTACACTTTTACTTCTTCTCTCTCAATCCTTGAACCTCATTGGTCGGTTACCTGTGTTGTTATAAGTAAAACTATGCTGTTATGAAAGTAAACAATGCTGTTATGAGAAACCTTTCAATTCTAAGAACTGAACTGAAACGGCTACTTAAAAAAACAGTCGTAGGTAATAGTATATTTCGTACCGTACCTAGGGCCGAAAATGAGGTTTTGTCGGCTTGAGATAGTTTTTAAGTTCGAGACGAAGTCGAGAACTTAAATCGATCGAGAGCTGCAAAACCATTTCGGTTCCTGGTACGAACACTATTTTTCACCACACTATACCCCATTACCACTATTCACCACTATAATAATGCACACTGATAGTCAACACAACTACAACTATAAGGTTATGTGAAGAAATAATTTGAGGAATCAGCAAAAATAAAAAAATAAATAGTTGCTAGGCAACGGTGACAATAACACAATTCTATTGCAATGCTATGGATTTTGATTGTGTATTTAAAATGCATTCATGTTTTAAGTAAGTAAGCGGACAGCTGATTTTGCGGCCCCGGGCTGTAAAAACCTGCTCGGTCCCCAAATTACTATGACAGCTGGCATGGCCAGCAAAACTTAACTTTCAGCCACAAATTAACGTATGTAATACAGCCAAAAACATCACAGTGTGGTGAAAATTATATTACATTGTTACAACAACAAGAAACAGACATTCGTAAAGACATTGTAACAAGTTTAAATGTCTAAGGGTTTAGTCAAATGAAAAATTTGTTTGTTTAAACTTTTCACTATCTGTTATGGTTGTCATAGTTAGCAGTCAGTAATAACTAAAAATTAAAGATATAGTGTACCAAGGTCAAAACTAACATTACAAAGACCTTACCTCCCTTGTGTTGTGTGATGATGTTATGCATACTAACCAATTATCCTGGAAAAGCATTAAAAACTCATAGGTGCTCGGTAATTTGAAACTTTCCTTTAAAATGGAAGATCAATTTACAGACTCACTGACTTATGCTTAAAACGTGCAAAAGTAAGCTTCTTAACACAATCTTTATATTAAATAGAAACACTCATAAAAATTTTCTTAAATCCATATGGGAGGATTTTTATACTAAACTGTGGTCTACAAAGTGACTAACTCTGGGTTGGGTGACTGCTTATGAAGGAATGTATTGTTGTAAGGATTTGAATGGATTTTACTAACATTTTATATAAAAATCTTAATTTACTTATGAAATTTATTGTAACTTAGGGAAAAAATATATTTAGTGCTTGCAGTTTATATTTCTATGTTAAAAATGTTTCACAACATTTGTGTATTAAGATATAAACTAATTGTATATAAACTGTACAAATTTCCATAGAGAAAAACAAATATATCAACACTTTATCATTTTCACGGGATAATTTTAGAAGGATAAGATACTACACATACCAGGTATATTTCATACATTTTTAACTGCATAAAATATTACAAGATATAACTGTTTCCACAGGTGAAAAAAATCATAGATTTCATGCAAAGAGTGAAAGAATATATTATTTTTTACCCAGTAATACAAATTTATTGTATATGAGAATAAATAGTTGAAGCAAAAACACTACTTATGCTAGGAATTAGTAAATTAGCATGTTTTACCATACTGCAGCAAAAACTACTGTGGGGCTACAGTAACAGTTCAGTGTCAGTGGCTACAGTTCAGGGGCTACAGTGTCAGTTTATTTTTAGTGAGTCGGTGGCTCAGTCGGTAGCGTCACGGCCCAAGGCAGCGATGTCGTGGATTCGGATCCTGGTCACTGCCACTAAAATTTATCAGTACAGTTCTAGTTCACCTTTGTACTGTACCGGCTCACTCCTTGCTTTGCTGTAAACGATCCACGCTCGGGCGCTTAGTCTATGTGGACGGGCAAAAACAAGGTTAAAAGAGGCCGCCAACCTCTAAAAAAAACCTATTTTTCTCCCTAGGGGAAAACAATCAAATGGAGACGATGTTGTTCCTATAGCTGTCAAATTTTTCCGTTTATTTTGCCAAAGGAAAAAGTCACTATTGATAAAAAATATTATTGCATCGTAACAAAATGTTTTTGTTCAATTCTTATGTAATATTGTATGTCTCACTACAATTACCTCAACATTCACCCTTTATTGCATTCAGTAAAATTTGAGTTATTATTCTGTTGGTGAAGCAATACATGTTCCTTCTACATAATAATAACAGCTGTTTGTATACACTACCAAAAAAGACGTAAATGATTTTGTGAGCTAATTTATAAAGGTAAAATAATTTATAAAATATAATTTTAAATTATTTAGTTTAATGAATGGTACAGTATGACAAAAAATTTAGTTCATGACCAAAGTGTACTTTTGACCGTTGTTAATTGTTGAGCTATTGTCGAAAAAAATCACTTTAGCACTTAATGATGAAATATACTATCACTATCTACTAAATATCACTATACTATCACTACTAAATAACGTTATTTCCAGAGAGGAATTCAAAAAGAACCAAAGACTACAGCTGAGAGAGTTGATGTCTGGAGTCAGATCAGCATGTGACTTAGCAATGGCAATACACTGGATGCCCGACGGATTCTTGTGGGCTGGCACATTGAAGGAATGGCACATCGGAGCTCTAGGAACGCTGTCTACCGTCCTGAGCTTAGTTCAAAGCTGCAAGTCCTTACAGGAGTTGTGATTACTTATACCAAGAGTAAGAAACAGTCACTAGTTGTTTAACCCTAAGTAATATGCAGTTCTTGTGTAAGGATTGTTGACAAGAGTTATCCTGTAAAGCAGTATCTACTGAGGAACATTTGCTAAGTAAAGGCATTTTTGATTTGATATGAAGGAGTGTAAGGAACAAGGCCACTTCCTTGAAGAACAATTAGTTGTTTAAAGTTTAGTTTACTTTAGTTATACCTCTCCATTTTGGGACCTGTTGGTAGCCTGTTTTTGGGATACAATTGTACCCATTTTGTGATATCCTCACTAACTTCACAGCAGACAAAAAAGTGATAAGATATATTTATATGTTTATATTAATAATGTAAGACTAAATTACTTAAGATGTTGTCAAATTAGTAGTGCAAGTTTCGGTGTTAAAACACCATTGTCAGCTTCAGATACTTGATATAATGTTGACCCCTTTTAACTTCCTCAGTGATAAACACAATATGAACCAATTAAAAAGACCAAAAAACATATTAAACATTTTAAAAACAGACCTATTCTGACAAAAGAAAGACTGACCGCACAGGTAGTATAGCAGACAGAATAATTTGACAACATTTTTTTGAGCTGTGACGGGATCACGCAAGTCATTTAGTCTTATTTTATGTCTAACAGCTCAGGCGCTACAAAGATGGATTCTAATTTATGTCTATATTTATTCACAAGACATTTTTATTTGGGTTTTGTATGTGTATTTTGCCCTGTTTACCATTTATGTAATTTTATAACTGCATTTTTGCTATACCACAATGATGCTATTTAAAGCTGATAATTTTATACCTACTATTGTTATTGAGGTGAATCAATAAATATATATTTTACATTAATTGATTGTTATTTTTGTTTATTTGTGCCAACGTCAATCACACCAGTCTTACTGTAGCGTACATAATTCTCAACACAGGCTACAGTGGCTGATGATATATGTCAGTAACTTCTATTTATTTCAACATCCTAAGAACCTATTGCTACCTTTGTCACCGTATAACAACTATTTACTATATTTTCTTCTCAATCCTAGGGTGGTTTTGACGTTATATATTTTAGAGAACCCTCAAACTTAGGTTACATAAATGGTGAAATAAGTTTTATGAGGAAAAAGCAATTTGCTTAGAATACATTTAGGTAGGAGGAATGTATACACAACTAAATTACCTAAGAAAAGATTTCCAGGCAGTTAAAAGAACACAAAATAAGTTCACAACACAATAAACTTGACATTTTGCCCCTACAAGGGGCTTGTATTTAATTTACATTATGCCTTTTTTATGCTTGTTATTTTGGAAATTATATTGTTTTCTTGTGTTGTAACTATGCTTATCTATGTTTCTAGTAAATGTTGAAATTACTTTTTACATGGAACACTGACGAAGAAGAACTGACATTGTTTCGTTGCATCAATGTCAGTGGCAATTAGAGGTTATAAACAAAAACATAACCTCTCTTAGAAGTTATTAATAGTGATTTTTAGTAATTAAAACACCGTCGTAGCGTAGGTAAAGTAGTGTACGCAACTCGCGTAAATAGTGTTAACGACACTCGTAGAAGTTTTTAAGGCACTCGCCAAGGCTCGTACCTTAAATTTTCTACTTGAGTTGTTAACACTATCTTTACGCAATCGTTGCATAAACTACTATTACAGTAACCATCACACACAAATTTAAGCATTGATCTTATTGAATTTTTTTGAAAATGTGAAATTTTTTGGAGGTTGACATTTGTTGTTCCTCTATATACTTCAAGACAATACCCAATATGTGGGTATGGACCATTGAAAAATAAATTGACTGCAATGTTTTGATGTCACAAAAAGAGGACAATCCCTTCAGAACAAAGACTCCTGATCTTTTGAACAGACCTCATTTACATGACCAAGATCCAGTAGAATATCAAGGAACTTTGACTTTTCAGCAAGATCAACAGTTTTGAGACAGTGTGTTGGTCCTGTATTATTCCTTGAATTAACATTTTTACAAGAGAATTTGATCATTTTGGTTTTATTTTTGTTAGGTAAAAAGTTCAAGTTACTCATCCTTTCATTAACATCACACAAGGTTCACACGAGCGACATATCTAGCGTACTAGGTAAGCAGGACTAGAAAGCGGACCACAGGATCAAATGGAGCCGTTCACACGAGCGTACGGCAATGGAGCCGCGATCAAGCTTGGCGTTGCACACCATTGCCAGACTCCGCTTCCCAGCCAAGTGTCGCAACTGTCGCGGCTAGCTAGTCAATAGCTCTAGCGGCATTGCAGTTAACAATATGAGAACGTTCACACGAGCGGTCGGTCGTCGCGCTGCAGCTCGCATACTTGCCTTTGCTTTCATTGTGCGCCAGTGATGGATCCGAGTTGGTTTGATATCGATATTTTCATCGAATCGGTGAAGAAACAGCTGTGCCTTTGGAACACAGCTCTTTCGGAACATCAAGATAAAATGAATAAGACATTAAGATAAATAAATCGCTTATAGACTGGTACAAGTACGCAAGTAATAGAAACAGTTATCATGGTTAAAGTAATAAAATATTACCTTGTGGTTTCAATTTTATATTTTTTTGGCTTCCATTTGAATTGACTTCCATTGCAATAGCTTTATTGATTGAAATAAAATTAGCAATGTTCAAATTGCATACAACTTTTAGGTAAATTGTATTACATGACCAACAATAAACTGTTTCTTAAAATAATTTTTAATTGCCCTATATCCTCTTAACAATAATGTTTTTTTACCAAACTTTTATAATAGTTTAATAGATGATTTGTTACCTGAATTTTATTATCTAATGCAAATTTAGTTAATGTTTTTTACAAAACTTTGATAATAGTTTAATAGATGATTTGTTACCTGAATTTCATTATTCTAATGCAAATTTAGTTAAGAAAAACTTTGATAATTGTTTAAAATATCATTACAACAAAAACATTGGTCACTTACCATCGATACAAGAACATCATTTATTGATAGCAAAACATCGATGTATCGAAAAAATCGTTTATCAAAGTAAATTTATTTACGTCACACTTGCAATATAGTCGGTTGACTCGTCGCTCGTGTGAACTTGTGTGTCGCGAGGAAGGCTAGTCAATGTCAGTCAGCTAGATGAACCGCTCGTGTGAACCCTGCCTTACTTCATACTAGAGATCATTGTTCAAAAACATTACACATTGTACTGCTACTAGCTATGCAGAAATACCTATGGGACGTATAGTCTGGTCATGGTATTTATGGTACGTTGTGAAAGAAAAGAAAATTGACGCTCCCGCGAGAATCATGTTCTGTAGTCAGATCCAAGGCTGTAAATATTCGCACAATGCGGCAGAGGGTGTTCATCAGTTTCCATAGTAATAATGACTGAATTTGAAGAAACATAGCTTGCAAAACAGTGTGTTTCAGACTTACAGCACTGAACGTAGTCCTTGATAGTCTCATAAAGACTTCTATTAATTCGATGATCTATCTCGTTTAGTCACAATAGTCAATCATTATTTTCACAAAACGTTTACAAAACCAGCAGAGGTGAAAATAGTCATACGGTGAAATAGTCATAAACAATTAAAATACATTACAACTAAAAAAACAATATACTAAGCTAAGAAATTCTATTGATTTGATACTATTAGGTAGTTTGTTATACATCTTTTTCCCTAAGTACTGTGGAAAGGTTTCAATTGAGGCAATTCTATGAATGGGCAGCTGTAAATCGTTTCGATGTGTTAAATAATTGACTACAGTTTTCATTCAAATAAAAGTCTAGACTTTTTTAAATTAAAAGTAAAGTTTGCAGAATATAAATTGATGGGAGTGTTAGTATTTTTTATTCTTTGAATAATGATTTACACGATTGTTTCGGTTGTGGAAATGTCATAATTCTTAGGATCCTTTTTTGAATTTTGAATATGGTTTTGGCGTTTGAGCAACTGCCCCAGAACTCTATTCCGTACATGTTTGACTCAATCAAAGCATTGTAAACAATCATCCTTGTCTTGAGGTCAGTAACATGTTGCAGGACAGACATCTGAAAACATTAAGTTTTTTAGAAAGAATCAATATATTGGTCCCTATTTAATGTTTTTTTGTACCTGAATGTCTAAAAATGTTGTCAACAATGTTTCATTTATAATAGTTCTCCCTTGAAGTAAATATTTATTTCAACATTTTACCAATCATGAGTAGTTTTAAACCTAATAATTTGAGTCTTAGAATAGTTAAGACTCAAGTAATTTGCTTTAAACCATTTGTTTAGATCTCCAAAAGTATGGTTTATCAAATTTTGTAAATTGTTGTCAACTTGGCATTGTTTGATTTTAATATTGCTGTTGTGTCATCAACATTGATCATCACACCATGATCCTTTCAAGTATCTCTTTGTTCAAATGAGATTGCTGAACAACAGCAGTAGGCTTACACCATGGAAAACAAAACATTGTGTAAATGTTTAAGACCACCTTTAAACTCCCACTTCCCCTTGAGCACATTTTATAGTCCAAACACTTCTCCATTTACATCTGGTAATGATAGTCTACACAGTGTCATCTGGTGGGTGATGGTACAGTGGTTGACGACTGTGACCACAGAACGCTTGGCAGGAGCGTAAATTTTATATCACAACGTATGTTATATAAAATTATCTAAAATTAGTCGATGACAAGAAATCAATCACACAGTTTCTGACGGATCAAAGTGGATGGAAACAAATAAGGAAAATAACACCAGATCATTGGAGGGCTGGACTACTGCAGTGCCGGATTCCAGAGATCTACTGCAATGCTTCCCCACCTGCGGTAGAGGCCACTGGCGTGGTCAGTGGTGACGTATCAATTGTATCAATTATTTAAGATGATGTGCACTCTGTGCGTATTTTAACCCAAATATGAGTGAAGGATGAGTGGCGCGATCTTGTAGTCTTGTTAGTGACTAAGCCGGCATGTTCCATAGACTAGACACACTGTTAATTCATGGTAACTTACCTAATTCATACAGAACTTTATCAAAATCAAACTTTACAGCATATTATAAAATTCAGACTTTTTTAAAGATAAATTTTAATGGTTTTCACAACTGCGTTAGGTTTTTTAATAGGCTCCCCCAAACTGCAAATCTCATCTCATTTAATCACTTTAAAACAACTATAAAAAATTGGCTAGTTGAAAACCCTTTTAATTCGTTTGATGAATTTAAAATGTCAGAGTTTAATGTTAAGTTTTAAAATGTTGTACATAGTTTTTAGTTAATTTTAATTTAATGTATTAGCATTTAGTAAGAATATTTGACTGTTCCTATTTCTGTATTGTTATAGATCAATGGAATAAATACTCTTGACTCTTGACTTGTTATGGTATAATTATATTAAGGAACCTAGATATAAATTGAACTTATACCAGCTTGGGAATTACTTTTCTAATTATTGTATCAAGCGTTATGTACAATAAAGCTTTGTCTATTGTCTAATTAATAGTCCATACAGCCAATGGAAACTAAGGGTCCTACAGTTTATAGTAGAATCCGACCCACATTTTTCCTTATAATTAACGAATTGGTCTAATTATCAGGATAGTACTGCAGATAGACGTAGTGTTCACTAGTGTGGACGTTAATCCACACCAGGGAGCATCGCATCCACAGTGCGTGCCTATAAATATCAACTATTCGTGACCTCCGAGTAGCTGGATTGCAGGACGACACCACCGTCCCAGACGTAGGTATGAGTATTATGTCAGGATTAATTGATTAGGTAAATTAAATTAGCATTAGTTCACACCCCAACAGCATTTGTGTACATTCAACAAGACGTTAAAACAAGGATGAGATTATTTTCTTAATTTAATGTTTTAAAAAATCAAGTAACTTACTTGAAATAATAGCTCTCAAGAAGTAATATGAACTACGGTAAATTCAAACTCTTGGGTCTAGTGCTCATTATTACTGATGTATTCATCGGTTCTCTAAATACAACCTTCTTGAGAAAGGTTCGTAATTGTGATTGGAAAATGGATTAGGTTGGAAAAAATATTAATTTTTTATCCATAATTCTCCATGTGACTAACTAACATATTTTTCTTGTTTGCAGTGGTATGCTAGGCCAAAGGTAATAACAAATAACATGATTAAATAGGTAATTTAAGATTACATACAATTAAAAAGCATTTTCATAGTACAGTTAAAAAAGTTGCACAGACTATTTGTAGAAGATAACCTCTCTTCGTAGCCATTGCTTAATTGTTGGTACAGTTAGTCCTTCATGTAGATAGGATAGCGATTTGTCAACACAGTTATAACCTCTTGTTACTACTGGTGCATCACTATGAATGTGTTGTTTCAAATGTTATCGTTAGCTATAGAATTTAATATATTGGAATTCTTTAGGATTAATTAAGAACAATTCAGAAGAGGCTGGGTCTGGTTCGAAGTTTCACTTGTGTTCTTATTTTCTTCCATTAGTTTGTGAATGGGAAATATATTGATTTATATCTCAGTATGGTGTTTTGAATTTGAAATTTGTTAAACAATTTTTAACTTGTTTTTGTGAGGCTAGCCAAATGAGAAAGAATAAGGTTACTTACAAGTCATAGATCAGTTGTACTATTAATGAACTGAGGAAAAATTTTAATCAATGTTTGTAGACTAATGTCTGATGAAGTAGTGGTGGCCAAATATTTGTGTAGTAACGGTATCTATTAAACAAGACTTTAAAAGAATACAATTTAAATTTTTTTGATAATTTACTACTCACAAATTATAATGATAAGCTTTTGTTTGCGTTATTGAATCCTGAGTTAAAATTATATATCTTTCAAAATACATGTTAAATTCTGCGAGAAGTTAGAAATAAATCATGTAAGTAATTTTCTGTGTACTGTTCCAATGTTTCAAGACCACAACCATGCAGTATGGTTTCAGAATTTTAGTATTGAGATAATTTTTTTAAGCCTTTGTTTCAAAACTTCTGGTTTTCACCATCGCACTAATAAACTGATATGGAACGTTATTTCTTAGTTGAAAGAACATTTAAAAACCTTTAATTTGTTTTTAAGTTCAGTTTCACAAAGATACCACTTTTTCTGCAACCTTAAGATTTTTTGAGTCAAATGAACTTAACTATAAAGCACTGATAGTGTACAGCTGGCCAAAAGACTTTGGTGTTCTGATATTTGCCAATCTGAAGGTATGTGCAAATTGACTACAATTTATTTTATGAAGTTTCGTTTGCTAAAACAGGCTCTCCTTTCTTGTCTAACTTGATGTAAGAACACAATTAGCATCCGCTATACAGGGTATTCAAAAAAGGTGGGGACATAATTTACTTAGTAATTCCTTGAATCAAAATAAACAAAAAGGATGTATAAACATATGACCTAACTTTGTTCCGTTTAGCATCTATCTGTCTGTATGTGTATTTTTTTAAGGAACTAATCCAACCAAAAACCAAACACAAACAAAAAAAACCAACCAACATAAAATAACCTTTAAATAAAGATATATTGCATTTTATTGATTTGTAAAACTTGTTTTAACTGCTATAGGTAAAGTTTGTTCAGGACAATAAGTTTAGTTTAATACTGTACTGTATGTAATTTTTAAAATTCCTTATTAAAAGCATTATATATTTCAGAGTTTTGATTTATGATGATACTTATTTTGAACGATACTATAAATTCTACAATAAAATATACATCTTCAATCTGACATTGTGAACAAAAAAACCTCAACTAAATTATACATAGCTTCAACCCTGTAGATTCCATCTAGAGCATTATTTGTGAGTTGAAAATCAATATTTGAGCAATTAGATATCTAATAATAAAAAGGATGACTTTGTGAATGTTTAAAGATAAGTCTATAAAGATAGGAAAGTTATCAACATGATTGAAATTAAATTAGACTTTATCATCATAAATAATCTTTATTGAGATAAATATAATCAAACACAGCACAATATGAATAAATACATTAATAAATAAAAATGTACAAATATGTAATAATTGACACTGATAAAATATGAAATAGATTACTATCACAGTTTTAGGTTAACAGCCTTTATAAAGTTCTCACTTGCATAATGCAATCACTTAAACATACTATTTGCAAAAGCATATTTGAACCCATAAATGGACAAAAAATTTAACATTTTGTATATCTAACTCAACCATATTTGTTTGACTTAACAATACAATTTGCAAAAGTGTTATAGTGGCTTAGCTAACCAATATTCCTTGTATTAATTACAACTAGGCATTAATGGCGCATTTAGTCACATTTGTTGCCGAGATCGCAGATGTTTCTGCACTTTTAGTAGGACAAAAAGTTGTTTACAGAATGCAAACGGTAAAGTCAGCTGGAGTACAAATTTATCAACTTTTCTCACATTCACTTGACATTTTTTTGTAAAAAGCATAATATGAGTTTGTTACTATTATTAAATGGAATTTTCCAACGTTTCTTGTGTTTAAAGAGAGGTTTGGCCAAGCGCATTTCACTTTCACAAATAAATATTGTAATGCTATGAAAACATTAGCAGCAGATTCTGTTAAAATGGTGTATTGTACACTAAACAGTGTTGTAATTGTATGGGTTATATCTTACTCATCCTGCATGTTTGCTGCTGAAAGTGTGGTGAAATAGCTATTTGTGTATTAACACGTTCGCTACCGAGTGTCGCATATATGCGACGCCGCGATCGTTGCCACAGACCAAGGTATACAATTTAATCTTACACTTGGTTAACAGTACACGCAGACCACGGGCGAAAACCTGTTAAACATCGATCATTTACTTTGTAATACACTGCAATCATGTATGTAAATAATATATTCTTTTGTATTAATATTTTTGTTAACCCTTTGTAATGTTGCATACTTAGGACGCCAAGTCTATAGCGAAGACAATAGTGAAAATTATTATAGTTTTCTTGAAATAGCCCAAACGCCGCATATATGCAGCAGTTCATTTTTGTTCATGTTTTGAGTTGAAAGTAAGAGAAAAAAAACAGACTATTCAAGAACAGTTTATAATTGAACAAATATAAAATCTTCATAGGATACTGCATACATACATACAGTGATGCAGAAAAGTAAAGACCAGTATTTCCAACTACAGTCTAACCTTGATATAACGAACCTCAATATAACGAATTCCTTGATATAAAGAAATTTTTTTTTAAACCCCTCTAGAACTCTCCATAAGACACAATGTATATTTTACCTCTACATAACAAACAAACCATATCAGTAACCTTGATTCAACGAATTTTTCATGATCCCGGATAAAATAAGACACCTCAATATAACGAATTTATCATTGTCAGAACCTCTACTTAACGAATCGTCTTCGTCTCTCCCTCGATACAACAAACCCCCCACCACCATTATTATTTTTGGAAAATCAGTTTCTTCAGCAAATGAAATGGAAAGGATACGTCAACACTTGCGCTACATTCGTCTGCTCCGTTTACACATCTCTGTCCCTGTCTACTGTCGTTGCTGTATGCGCCCTATGTTACAACTGAGAACTGATTTCATTCACTGAGGACTGATGACGACGTAATGTTTAGTAAAATGTGATTGGGTGATAAGTAACTATGGTGACTTGTACAATTTTAGGATGAAGAGAAACATAAGAAAGAAAAAGAATAGAAGAACAAATCAAAGAGAAAGAAAGAAGAAAGCAACTTAACATTCCTTTTACAAGTGTTTTAATTCTTTAAGTTGGCTATGATTATACACATTTATAATGACTTATCTAATATTTTTATTATTTTCAATACAATTTGTTTAAACTAAGGCAACACCAATGCTATAGTTGATAGTAGATTATTACAGTATCGACATTCCTCTGTCGTGATTTAAAGCAGTACTGTAGCCGGCCTATCACGAGCAGTAGCTTACAAAACTCTCTACTGTTTTGTTTTGTTCTTTACGCGGTTTATTGCTATACAATACAGTGTTTGGCTAGGTTTTAGGTGGGTTAGAGAAAGCTGTGATTTTAAACTTACAGTTTGTGTAACCTGTACCAAGGTCAATGACTAGAAATGTCATGATTGCGCAATATTAAAGATCCCTCCTCTTTAGTACCCTGGATAATATAGGTAAACACTGTACTGTAAAGTATTGTAGCCTAGGCTACTTTAATTGTGTTTTAATGAGATAAAATCCCGACCTATATTGACTGATGCTGGTTCTGAACCTCGACATAGCGAAATTCCTGCAAACCTAACCTCAATATAACGAACCTCGTTTTAACAAAATCTATGATATAACGAATATTCAGTTCGGTCCCTTCAGATTTGTTATACCGAGGTTGGACTGTATCATATGACGTCTTTAATAATCATATCAACAGACCAAGCGACGCAGTTGAGCGTCAGACATCCCTGTAGACAACTGCAGAGAATTCAGTGCCTTCAAATAGACCGTTACAAAGATATAAGCCTTTTGATAACATTGGAACACCGACACAAATATGCGTCGTCAGTCTATTGTAATGTGCCTAGCCGGCAGTCTGTGGGTAGAAACCGGCCGTCGCATATTTGCAGCGCTGGTCTATATGAATGAAAAATTTGGTACTATTGCGGTAGCGAACGTGTTAAGAGTGCTAAGCACGTCATTGCCGCTTGAGAACTGCAAATGGGCGCACAAAGCTTTAGCTGAGCCCCGCCATACATTTTGAGAGCGGTAATGACTGTTTGAGCTCGTAATACACACAGATTAATATTTAAGTTGAATATAAAATGTCATTAGGTTATGATTGTTTTTTAAAAGCTATGTTATAGATTCAATGTCAAATCAGCACAGTCATTTTACCTGACCATCTCAGATTTCAATGAAATTTGGTATACTGGTACACCCTATAGAGACCAAAAATATACAAAATTTCAACTTAGTACCTCAACTAGGTTCAAAATTAAGCCTTGTTGAACTGTACAGAAAATGCCAACAATAAACCTGTTAGTTAAACTTTCAAACACTCTAGCATCTCTCAAAAGCTAGGAAGATGAGAGAAGAAGTTATTGTAAATTCAATTTTTTATTTGAAAGTAAAATATTTTTATAATGACCTCTATTGTGTTGGATATTTCTAGAAAGGGATAATAAAATGCTGGAAAATGACACCTCACATCAAAAAACTTACATTTCTACAATTCTTTATATCGACTCTCGTACAATTCTCGTCTCCTGTGCAACATATCTAATTATCCTCGATTCGCTTGAAAAAGTGACCTCTGTACTGCCTAACTGTTCATTTATATACTGAAATCCTATATCCAAATCATTGGGAAGTAAGTTCTCAGCATTAGAATCGTAACTGTTAATACTGTCTCTAAAATATTCGTTGTCAAAATACGGGGTGTACGAAGAGGATGAATAAGTAGCTTCTGCTGTTGAAGCACTTGAGCTCATAAAGTTATCTTCATGATTTATCTCTAAAACTCTGTCTGACCCATTCACGGGTAAGCTGGGTCCACCGATGTTTGAGTCTGTAGTGTTCTGGGAATATATTACGTTTGAAGGATTCCTATTTGCTGTTCTGAATTTGTTTGATGCATAACCCAACAAGGAGACAGAGGCGGAAGAGAATGTTTGTTGCCGTTTACTTGTAAAACTAGTACATTCACCAAACTGTCTGGTTTCAAAGTTACCTTTGATTTTTGAGAATTTACTCACTTCACGTACCCGACTTGTATTGACAGTACTTGTGTGATGTATTATTCTATAACATCTATTTAAGGCATCATCTTTCTGAGTTTTATGTCTCACACTTTGAGGTACTGTTTGGGGGTTTACAGTTCTCTGAGGAACATTTATTGCTTTTTCGGAATTGTCAGAAACAAGTTTTTTTTTACCATATTGAAAACTTGTTTGTGTAAATGAACAGCTTGTACTGAAACTTGTTTGAGTTTCAGGATTATTTCCTTTGAAACTTGTTCGAATCTCAGGATTATTTCCTTTGAAACTTGTTCGAGTTTCAGGATTATTTCCTTTGAAACTTGTTCGAGTTTCAGGATTATTTCCTTTGAAACTTAATCGAGTTTCAGGATTATTTCCTTTGAAACTTGTTCGAGTTTCAGGATTATTTCCTTTGAAGCTTGCTCGAGTTTCAGGATTATTTCCTTTGAAACTTGCTCGTGTTTCAGGATTATTTCCTTTGAAACTTGTTTGACTTTCAGAATTATTTCCTCTATTGAGTTCTCCACTTAGTTTTAAAAACCTTTTGTCAGGTGGCAAGATTCTATAAGGAAGGAGATGAGGTATGCATTTGATGACTGATGGCCTATTTTGTTGAGCGGACATGATAACAGATTGGTTTGTGTTGGATTCCTTTTCACCCTCATTTACAGTTGGCTCAGATGTTACCTTTTCTGTATTAATTTTTACGTTAGCTGGATTTTTCACTTTACTCTTTCTAACATTGCTTGCTTTGGGTTTGGCTTGCTTAGGACTTATCTCTTTAGAACAAATCCCTTTTTTTACTTTATTTACCTTTACTTCTGCAGTGCCTTTATTTTGCTTCTGACTGTTTGTTTTTTCCTTTCTCTGAGTACCTTTTGTAAGTATACTATTTTGTTTATTTTTTACATTTTTAACTGTTGGTTTACTGTTAAATGGAGCTATTGAGGCCACCGGTATTGAGTTCCCATTTCTCGTCATAACTAGTGGTCCATCTTGATGAAAGTTTTTCATGTGCCTTTCTAAGTTGTCTTTGCGCCCGAAGGTGGTGTTGCAAAGAGAACACTCATAATCGTGGCAGCCTGAAAAATACATAGCAAAGAATTAACAATTTTAAGAACTAAACCCACCCAGCTAGGTACCAGTAGGTTTACACCAACTTTAGAAAATCAAAGTTGTGGAGATTGCAAAAGCAATTCACAAAATAATTAATAGCTCATGTAGAAGAACATCAGCATCAAAGAAATAAAGAGGATACAATAGCATAAAATTGAAATCATGAAGATTCTAACAAAAGTGAACAGCCAGATGTGGACTGTGAACTCGTTACCAATGGTTATTGTAAGCGAAATGTGGTTTATGGTGAAAACCAGGAAGACTGCAAACCGCAGATCAAAGAAGATTATCAGGTTCACTTTAAACCCTACTTGTTATCCCTTATGGCTAAACTACCTACAGTAGACTCCCTCTTATCCGGACACCTTTTAACCGGACACCGGTTAAACTAGACTTCACTTGGCGGAAATGACATCTCTTTAACCGGACAATTTTTATCAGCGCATCGGTTTAACCGGACTAGATCGACAGGAAGTGGGCGCTACTGAAACGACTGTTCTCGTGGGAAAGATTTGTAGCCAGTGATCACGTGTCTAAATACAATGCTCTCCTAAAATGTAAGTCAAATATGTATACAGTATGCATTTAAACGGTCCGTTTTAAAGAGTTTTTGGGGACGTCGGTTTAACCAAAAAACCCGCTATCCGGACTGGCCTCGGTCCCGAGGAGTCCGTATAAGAGGGAGTCTAAGAGTCTGAAATTAATAAAAGAACGAGAGGAATGGTTCTCTCAAAATGGACTACTGTTAAATATTTCAAAAACATAAATTATGCAATTTAAGGGGGTAAACTCTTCAAATTCATTAAATAGCAGCCTATTAATCCCGACAGATTCACACAAAGTACAGGGTGCGGCTTAAAAACCGATCTCTTTTATGCAGCACACTGTTCAGCAACAGGTCGTCAGAGGGTGGTGGGGTTAGGCTTGTTGGAAAACCTACACGATGCCATTATCTGTGGTCATAGAGATGTGGTCACCTGAGCAACGTGCGTTTGTTATTAAGTCGAATTTAAAAAGTAATGATTCCGTCATTGCAGCTCAGTGGCATTACCGTGCATTTCCTTAATTAGGGCGACGTGGATTTCGTCAAGTAGCACAACATGTGGTGGGTTACCAACTTTAGAATAACGGCTTCTGCCTTCAAAAAGAAGCTAACAAGCCGTCAATAGCAGATTGGACGCCTGTAGCCGGGGGCCGTTGATTGGGGTGCTGATGGGGGAGGTGCTGATGGAAGTTAATGGTGTGGAGGAGGGAATCCGGGTAATCAGGAGGGAATAAACAGGGTAATGCAATAGGTTAGGAGTAGATGTGTCTGGACCAAACTTAATTTAAGCGTGCTGAATCTGCTACCAATAAAATTAGGAAGATTGCTGGGGACCAGAGGGATGGAGACCTTTTACCCAGATCAGAACACTTGCCTAGCCAGCTTTGATTTGCACTAATTGAGCTAACTATTTAAAAATTAACCTATCCTTCCAACTATGAACTGAATTTGGATAATTTCTTACTAATATTGATGAGCGAAGGAAATAATATATAAATTGAATACTGAATGGCTAATATGTATGAATTTGACTGATAATTGCTAAGCTACATTCTGGAGACATGTGATTGAATTAACAGAATTGAAAAGGTTCGCTGCCTTAAGGGCAGCGAACCCGGCTAAGATTTTATTTCCTACATTTCACTAGACGGGCGAGCCAGAAGGGCTCCCCGCTTGTTTCCTGAACTTAGCCAGACATTACCTCTATTATTAGTCCTAAATAATTATGGTAAAAGACTTATCCATAACATGAGAGTCCCGGTCGGCGAATTTCAGCTTCCTTTTCATCTGACGGTTGGTAGAGCAAGGACGGGAGGACAAGAGTCTAGGAAGGTGGGGATAGCGCGTTGATGCAGTCGCGGCAGGCAACGAGATAGTCATGCAGCCCGGCTTCGCGAACTGCACACACTATGTAAAATATAGCGTGTCGCTATGCGTCACACGCCAGACAACTAACATTCCATAGAGTTTGTGCTGCTGTGGAAAACGATCCTCGTAGGACCACCCAAAAAACAAGGATCTGCTTTGAACATGTCTGACTGCTCGGTTACACTAATTTTGAGGCTCGATCTTAATTCTTATCCCTACAGATTAATTGATATTAATCTGTGTTTTGTTGATTATCCAAACAGATTATCACGACGGAACCTCTCCATGTCGACCTAATTAGACATAAGAATGCATGGAAATGCCGCTGAGTTGCAATGACTGAATCAGAATTTTTTTTACGTTTCTATAACAAACGCACGTAGCTCAGGTGACCTCTGACTACAGATAATGGCATCGTGTAGGCTTTCCAACGAGCCTACCTCGGACCTACCTATCTCAAACGACCTGTCGCTGAACAGTGCGCTGCATAAAATAGATTGGTTTTTAAGTCGCACCCTGTATTAGGAATGCATATTGATTCCAAATTAAATTGGGGAGATCATATTCAATATCCTTTTCGCTATGCAATAAGTGTTACAATTGATGCAACATCTCTGGAAGTATGTAAATTAGTATATTGTGCCTATATTGATTCTATAATAAGGTATGGTATAGTACTCTGGGGATTCAGTCCCAAAACAAAAAAAACTTCTTAACGCACAAAAATCAACCATGGTTCAAGTGTCAAAGAAAAAAAGTTCTAGACCTCATTTGAAAAGATTAGGGATTTTAACCATCACAAGTATGTACATTTTTGAAATGATTAAGCAAACAATTAACAATACAGACAATTTTGAAGAGTTTAAATTTACACATAATTATTCAACAAGTCAGAAACATTTATATCAATTCCCAATACATAGACTAACTCTTTTTGAACGTACACCAAAATACATGGCTATAAAAACTTTTAATAAACTACCAAAAAGAATAACCAACAATCCAAAAAACATAATCCTAGAAAAATTACACGAGTTATTAGCTAATTGAAAAGGCATATTATAAAATAGAAGATTTCTATTCTGATGTTTTCTAAACGGACAAGAATTAATTTAATTTTATAAACTAAATTCACGTGAATACATACCTGATGGCTTTAATTAATTTTAGAAGGATTTTTATCTTATTTGTTGTTTTTTATAATAGTAACTTTTACTTGATGTCAGTAGTAATAATTTTGAGTTGTGTGAATTTATTAGTTATAGTATTTTTTTAAATTTGTATTATGACGGCACTCCCATCCTTGTACATTGTACTTTTTAAGATGTTTATGAGTGAAAATTTACAGATTAAATTCACAAAAGAATTCATAGCTCGTGTAGAAGAACATCAAGATAAAAGCCCAAAAGAAACAAAGAGGATAAAATAGCATAGAATTGAAAATCAAGAAGAATCGAACAGAAATGAATATGTGGACTGTCAACTCTTTGCCTATGAAGAAAACATCCAGTCCTAAAAGGGAACGAACGAGAGGGAGTTTACTTTATGAAGATTTTACATTCATGCTGAACATTTTACCGAGTTTTATGATTTTAATGATAACCCAACAAACTTACTATTGTGGATGAGCTCGTGGCGAGCTTTGTCTCGTCGGCTCATGAACTGTCTTCCGCAACGGCACTTGAAAGGTCTTCGATGGTACAAGACGTGGCTTCGCTTGTGGAGCTTGAGTTGAGCGGAGAGAGCGTACTTCTTCCCACACACATCGCACATGTAGTCTCGCTTGGCTAGAACACATATATTGTACTTCAACATCATATTATGATTGTAAATGATTTTAAAAACTAGGTCTGAGACTGAGGACGGTGTATTAGATAATGATTGTAAATATTTCAAACACCAAAAAAATTGTTTGAGACTAAGGAGTTAAATGATTTATAGAGAACAACTGACAAAGGTAAAGATATCCGGAGAGTCCCAACTTCAGAGCCTTTTGCCCATGTTTATGCCTGTGTTTATCTTGAGGGTAGAGGTCCCGTCCTGATTTTTCCCTAACCAAAAGTGGCAACCCTGGTCTGCCCCCACCAGGGAACTTTGATAGCACTCATAGTTAGCCATTCCTGTCTGGGCAGTATTATTGTACATGTATGTCTCGTGCATCACTTATAAAGGTTTGCTGTGAATTTTTGAAATGTGAGAGAAAAAAAAACATATATGTGAAATTAAAAGAATAGAATACATAACTTATGCATAACATATATGTATAACAAAACTTGTAGGCTACATATTTTTATGGAATAAGCCAATATGGGCAGCGAGCCTATGCGTCGACTGTAGTTGCGTCTAGACATTTTGTTATTCGATCAAATAGAAAGAAAAAATAAAAATAAAAGGAGAATAGGAGATAGGTTAAAATATGAGCTAAATGGAATTACAAAAACAAATGGTGAAATTTAACAAGAAAAGCTATGAAAAAAATATATTAGGTGGCATCAATGGTGTGAATGATGTACAAAACTTGTACATCAATGGCAACGAGAAAACAGTTTAATTGAGTGATTGTGTCAGTAATTGCAAGTCTTTGAAAAGTGGAAGTTGCCGGTTGGTGAGGCATTGTTGTCAATTTTGACCACGTCTGTATGTGTGGTTTATAATTTTAAGTCACTCATTCCCGCAAAATATCTAAAGCACCAGTTTTTGTTCCAGAAGAGGGTATATCAGAAGACTGGAAAAATGTCAAGTTCTATCGAGTCCAAGAAAGTAACATATAGTCAGTGTACTGAAACATTAACAAACAATACACTTGATTCAAAAAGTTATTTCTGACTGGTATACTGTTGTCATAACTTTGTATCTTTTTTTTATAATGCTTTAAGAGATCCCCTTGTGTCAGGCTCACTAAATACAAATATGGTTAGTTGTCTATTGCAAGAAGCAGACTCAATAATTTTTTAAGATACATGAAAAATTATTTTTTTTATGGAAGAAATATAAAAAGTCAATGAACAATATGTCTGGAAATGACGTCACGGCTCATGTGACTATGCAGGGAGCACGGCAGTTACATCACAGATCTAATCAGCTATCACGTACCCCTCATTCCTCCCGCAACATATTTCAGCAACGGCCAACATCAGCTGGACATCCACGTTATCAATGTTCTGATAGACATTCGCCATCACGAAATAGGTCACCATCCTCCCGGCAAAGTGAGTATTTAAAGAGCAGATTTAGCTAGGAGCTTAAAGCTAACTAAATTGTTGCCCTTTCTGAGTACAATCAGGAGTGTCATTGGTCAAAAGTTAAATATTTTAGGCACTTGTGAAGTGAAGTTAAATAAACAAATGTTATTGTAGCTGAACAGCTGTTATGTCCAGTTTTTTTAGGAAGAGAATGGTTGTCAGTTTTGACACCAAACTGGTCAACTAATTTACTGTCAGGAAGTTTGTCTAACACCAAGGATTGTCCAGTAAATTATGTATCGAATCCAAACGAGTAATGTCACTTAAAATGGTTTACAATACCTGCATATAGTAATCCTTTGTTGCTGATTTAGGCAACTAGTTTCGGTTCTTGTTTTGAACCATCTTCAGGCCTCAAGGTGTCGAGTGATCACTTCATTCGAAGGTCGTTAACAGAGTTCAATAAATAAAACATATACAAAACACAATACACGGCAATATCCAAATATGGTCTAGACTTTACCGCAGCCCGGTCACGATTGATTGTCAATGTCCCTTCGTGTTTTTCGTGTTTTTTATAATGTGTGTCCGTTCCGTGTATCGTGTTTTGTATATGTTTTATTTATTGAACTCTGTTAACGACCTTCGAATGAAGTGATCACTTGACACCTTGAGGCCTGAAGATGGTTCAAAACAAGAACCGAAACTAGTTGTTTAAATCAGCAACAAAGGATTAGGCTACTATATGCAGGTATTGTAAACCATTTTAAGTATAATACAGTAATCCGGAGGCTAAACAACTATTTTTAAAATGAGTAATGTCAGTCTATGGTTCAATGTAAAACAGATGTAGATGAAGTTTTATCAACACGTTTTCCTTAGGTTTATTAAAAGTAAAACAAAGATTTAAAATCAGTCTGAAGACGATGAAATCTGAAGATGATGTGCAACCTGTATTTCACAAAATGTTCCCAGTTTCCTTATGGCTAGAGAGATTTGTTAGAGTTATAAGTGAAGAATTGTCGGGGTAACGTTGTAAGGCTTACAAAAAACTTCTGATGATTTCCGCCTGCCTGTTTGCGACTTTTCATTGTTAGCAAAATCGGAACTGAAACCAGCTAACCTGCTAACCATAAGTTCAAACAGTGTGACTTTAATTTGTTTTTATTTTGAAATATTTCCTATCCATTTTTATTTTACTTGCGCCACTTGAGTGCACTCGTTTCATTTTATAAACTGAACGATTTACGTGTTAGTAATTTTTCAAACAATACGTCATAACCCACTACGTAGGAATGACTGGAAACAGTCGTCTTTGATTAAACTAGTCGTAAACACCATACTCGACCTTTTGGTGTTGAGATGAGGCTGACTGGTCGAATAAAATCAGTTGTAGATAAACTGACGGATAGGAATTGGGAACACCTTCAACCTTAGGATGATACATAACATGTAATTGCATTTATTTTTGTTGTTTAAAAATATATAAAATTGCCAAGACACTGTGTTTTATATACTGATGATTTAGATTTTAATGCCTGTAGTAAAATCTGTTTTAAAAACCAGGTAACAAATAAATAGGAATATTTGTTATACTGAGTTATAGACATTAGGCCTACTGAATAATTTAAATCTTGCAGTCATGTAATAAACTAAAAATTTTTAATTAATTGTAAATGTTGTCATTCTATTACGTTTTATACCAAAGTAACAAAATATTAATGCAAATGACAACAAACAATAGGAATCAAGCGGGAAAACTTGTTTAAAGTAAAATTATATTCGATAATTTTCTTTGCAATGACTAAAAACCACTGCACCGATTAAACGCCACCAGTTGTTGGTGTAGTGGAATTCTCTCGGTTTTTCATTCAACTGAAAAAAAACCACTGGTTTTAAAAACAACCGATTGACTAGTCGATAGTTTTTTCCAGTCGGTTGTCCCATCACTATACTAGTACAAGCGCTAAGCTGTCTGCTTGAGTCCAGATACCAGACATATCGCAGACGCGCCGGCACGGCAATGTCTCGTCACTACCGCGGAGCGCTGGGCACTGAGCTGATTCGATGCAGTGAGATCGGTGACTATCCTCTAGTACCGAGTGACTATCACTGTACTTAGGGGCTACCCCTAACTGTAATTCAATTAATAAAAGAGTATTGTTTATTAAAAATTGTTTTTGCAAGACTACGTCGCTGTGAAACAGTTAAACAAAATATTTTTTTATTATAACTAAATTTATTTTAATTGATTTTTTGGCTTTTGGAGGCCCCCTTGAGCCGGAGGCCCTCGGGGATCGCCGACCAGCCGCCCTGGCCAGACCGGGCCTGCTGAGGAGTTTGAATGTTGAACTTGAGTGTGTCAAACTGTCTTTTAGTGCAGTGTTTTTGTGCTACAGGTGCTAATGAATTTGATGAATCATTTGACTGAACATATTTTTTGACTGAAAATAATTTGATGAATTTGACTGAAATTGATCAGTTCTTCACGCCGAACGCGTCCGTTATCCACATCGCCAGGTACTGTACATGACGCCGACACAGACATGGTTGGTGGTGATGAAACCCTGGGTAACCTTACCTGCGGACAATTACTGGATGATATTAGTGCTCTATTAGATAGCAAACTTTCTAACTTAGTCTCTAACCTAGCTTCTAAAGCTTGCTAACTTAGCTTCTTTTCTTTGGCAGGAGAAATGGTGAGGTATGCAGGATCCCAGACATCGAAGGCCCAGAAGAAGCAAAGTATTTAGGTTTAATAAGAGATCAGAAACTGACATAGACTCCCCATATTGACAGCCTGTGTAGTAAACTGAAGAGCAGTGTCTATGTGATAAGAAGGATAAAAACCATAAGTGACACCAACATAGCCAAGATTGCTTACCACTCACTGTTTGAATCACATCTTCGATATGGCCTTGAAGTATGGGGAAACTCATCGGCAACCAACCTCCAACGTGTGCTTATCCACCAGAAAAAAGCAGTAAAAATATTAGCTGACATGGACAAGAGAGAAAGTCACAGTCCGAAATTCCGTGAGCTAAAAATCCTAACAATTACAAGCCTGTACATCCTAGCTGTGGCTACTCGTGCAAGCAGGCTACAGCTCCAACGAGGTACGGATAGGCACAGCCATAACACCCGACAGACTATGAATTACACACTTCCAGTCCATCATCTAACTCTTTTTGAAGAAAAGCCTTCCTACATGGGAGTGAAGTTCCTGAACCTGCTTCCAGAGACAATAAAAGGCCCCAGCATAAGCAGCACCAGACAACGTTTAATGGCTTGGCTTGTGGAGAGACCATTCTACACAGTTGAGGAGTTGATGAACTGGAGAACTTCACCGATATTCCAGTGAGGACTAAACAACCCTCATAGTAATAACCATCACTACTGACAGCGCCTCTAAGCCCAACAACTTTACGCTATTTTATCATTAAATCTCTGTAATGTTTGACGCCTATTCTGTACTCTATGTTCAAGAATAAAGGATTCTGATTCTGATTCTAAAGACAATGTGACTAAACTGAATGGACAATGGACTAAAAATGCTGTTACTGTTGAAAGAATAAATAAATAAATAAATAAACTCTCAGATCACG